CTAAAGGGGAACCCTTTTTAAAAAAAAAAAAAAAAAAAAAGCAAAACAAGGGGTTGGGGATTTAGCTTAGCCCTGGGTTTGGTCCTCAGCTCAAAAAAAAAAAAAAAAACCACTTGGGAAGGAAGGAGGATGAAGAGTTTGGGACCACTCTCAGCTACACAGCAAATCTGAGGCCAGTCTAAGTTACATGAGACTTGTTTCAAAAGACATAAAACAAAACAAAAAGCTTCAAAAGGTTCTAACACAACTATTACCAGCGATAATAAAATTTAGCAGCATGACAGGTTCATCTGTAAAAATTGTGCAAGATTATGATAGGATTGATTACATAGCAACAATGTAAGTGTAATCAAATGTAAAGCATATTCTAACAAGACTTTTTCCCAACTAACCTAGAGAAGCTAGTGTTTATATGGACAACTAGATGACAAAAGATAATCTAAGAATTTTTTTTAATCAAGGGGAACTGAAATTTATTGAAGCTCATTATAAAGCGATTCTAAAAAAATAAAACAATATGGTTTTTACTAAGAGGAAAAAAAAAGATTAAAGGATAAGATCCTGGAAGAGGCCTGTGTATTTAACAACAGGAATTTAGTGCTTCCAAAAACGGAAGAAAACCTCATGAAAATATGGGGTTGAAATCACTTGTGCTCAACCCCACCATTTACAAAAGTAAACTGCAGATAAATTAAACAACAAAAAATACTTGTATTTGCCAAAGAATTTGGACAATGTGCCTGTAAGATTAAAAAAAAAAAAAAAAAGACAAGTCTTTATGGGGATCCACATCTGTAACCCTAGTACTTTGAAGGTAAAGGCAGGATCAGGAATTAGTAAAGTAGAGGCCACCTGGGCTACATAGACCTTGTCTCAAAAAACATCACTACCAACAGAACATACACAGACACACAAACTCCAAACCCCACAAACTTCCTCACATACCCTCCAAAGAGAATGGGGTTGGGGGTGTTCGTTTATGTCTGCTTACTGGGTACAAGGCCCTGGGTTAACCCTGAGCACTATGAAGAGATAACTGAACACAGATTTGAGAATTATGCGTATCACAGCATGCCACCTGGGTTTCCATGCTCTATACCTCTTGTAAGACATTAGTCTCAGAGCACCAGTAGACCCATCCCTTGTGGGAACTCCCACATGCATGGCTCTCACCTGGAAAGGTGTCTTGAATCTCTCTCTCCATCGGCCAGAAGTCTTCCACCTCTTCTAACTGAGATATCACTTCTGGCTTGGAAAGATGATGTTCTGCTCAAGGGAAAAGAGAACTTGGGGAACCTGTTTAGAGATGCTGTCCTATTGTAACACTCTGTCTCTGCCTGACCCACTGCTCAGGCATGACATGATTCTGGGCCTTGGGCAGTGACAGCCCCATATCCATTCCTTTTGTTGGCTCTCCTGGATTCTCCTGCCAGGAGAGGTGCCACAAGATACAATGGGAGACTGTTTAATTGGGGGACATTCTGGGACAGCTTTTGCTTCCTTGCTAAATGTGACACCTCACAAAGAGAGTCTGGGACTCTCCCCTTTTCTTGTTTTAGCCTTGAATTATAGACATAAGGTTTGGAGCCACAGCGATGCAAAAACAAGATTAAAAAAAAAATTTACAAGTACCACAAAGAGATCAAGATCTTTGACCATAAACACCTTAGCTGTTAGACACTGATGTTTCATACCCTGGAACTGCTACAAAAATAATAGGCAATCTCTACCGCAACTACAAACATCCTTTATAGGCCCTCCTCAGTACTGAGGGGCTCTGATCTCCCCAGGGCCTTAACACTTCTACTCTGGTCCTTCCAGCCTAAGCCCAAGCACACAGTTCAGAGTCACCACATTCTGAACTACAAAGAAATAACATTTTTTTTCGGGGGAGGGGGGAGAAACAGGGTCCAGATTGGCCTTGAACTTTCCATCCTCCTCTTCTGCCTCCAGAGTGCTAGGATTCCATGTGTGTGCCACTACCCCAGGTCCCAAAATGATTGCCCTCGAGGCTGGCCTTACCTACTGAAACCATGGTTCTGTAGTTCTCCAGCATCATTTCCCTGTAGAGGCACTTCTGTTGGAGGTCCAGCTGTGCCCACTCTTCCTCTGTAAAAGTCAGTGCTACATCTTCAAACGTCACAGGTTCCTAAAATCCACAGGACCTTGATTAGCCAGTGCCCTTCCTCTTCCCCATGGACAGGAAAAATGGGAGGAGGCTGAGACCAAGAATTGAGAACATTCTACTTGTCTCAAAATTCCTTTGTCTGAAACCTTGAGCAAATCCAAGCCTGATAGTAATCACAGTCAGGAGGGCAAGCGAGACCTGTGCTTTATGAAAACCTGTTCATTTCTCATTAAACTGGGGATATGACTCAAGCCCCATCTATATCTTTGTTTTCTTGTCACTGAACTCCTGACTGATGTCAAAGTAGCTGGTGAAAATAAAACATGAGCCTCATATCTGCTTAGACTTGTCAGTTCCTCCCCAAGCTGGTGAGATGGCTCATCAGATGAAGGTACTTGCTGGCCAAGCCTGAGGATCCACATGTAAGGGAGAACTGATACCCCAAGTTGTCCACTGACCTTTACACCAGTGTCAGCCTACCCACACACAAAATAAATTTAATTAAAAAAAAAGTTGCAGCTGGGTGCTCTGCATGCCTTTAATCCCAGCACCCCGAAGGTAGAGGCAGGTGGATCTCTGTGAGAATAAGGCCAGCCTGGTCTACATAGCAAGTTCGAAGTCTGCTGGGGTTACAGGGAGATTGTCTCCAAAAAGAAAACAAAACAAAACCCGAACTTGAAAAGCTTCAATTTGTAGAATCCCAGTTCGGAAGCTGTTTTCTTTTTTCTTTTCTAACCACGCCCTTGGAAAGACATCCCCGGAGGAGCTCTCTCTAGGCTTGGGGTGTCCCACCACCAGCCTCCTCCCTCGAGGGGCAGACTCCAAAGCCGAAAGAAGCCTCTACTCACACGGGGCCAGGCTGTCGTGGGCGTGGAGGCCATACTTTCCTCAACGTTCTCTCGCAGAAGTGGGCAGAGTCCTGGGAAAACTGAAGGTGGGAGGGGCCCTCAGGGGGATGCAGGGCGGTACCCCCCCCTGCCCATCATCAGTCCTTGCACGGGACATGAGTAGTCCACCCCCACATCCGAGAGCGCCGAGTCCTTCCCGGACTCCCACACGCCTAGAGGACAGGTTCCCCTCTAACCGAGAGGAGACAGTTCTGACATCCTGTAGTCCAGAACGCTGCAGGCGTCCTACACACCTCGGAATCCGGGCCACAACCGCACAGCTCCGCACAGCTCCGCCCAAGGACGGCTCTGAGCTCCTGAAGTTGGAAAGTAGCAGAGGTTGTGCGCAGCCAGTCCCCTCGACGGGCTTTCGCACAGCACACACCCGTAACGCTCTACACAATGGCGACCGCCCGCCCGGCCACCCGCGGGCGAAATGCGTCATCTCAGCAGTTCGGACTACAACTCCCAGACGCCCCCGCGCGCTCCCAGCGGTCACACCCAGGCGGCGGCCATTTTGGCGCGCCAGTACTGTCGGTAGGCGAAGCCAGTCCTCGGACGAAAGACTTTGTCCACGGTTAACAGAGCGTGCGGGGGCGTCTTTTGGAAAATATTAAGCGCGGAGCGCCAGCACTTCCAAGGGCAGTGACCGAGGGTAGGAGAGAGTCGAACCTTGAAATTGGAGTCGACACGCGTGGACGTACCGGAAGCTGGAGACGGGGAAGGCAGGGCAGGAAGTCCTGGTGTCAGGGCAGGTGAGATGATGGGGAAGTAGGGGGCGGGACGGCGGGACGTTTGGGCGCGTGGACTTAGCTGGATGGTCACCTAGTGTAGCCGGGAGGGGTCTCAGGGCGGGGACTGGGGTCGGGAAGCGTGCCAGAGCAACATTCCTGAAGGGGAGGAGATAAGGGTACAATGTTGTCCACTTGGCAGGTAACGGAGATAACAGGAAAGATAACGGGAAGTCTGCTCAAGTAGTGATCTGGATGTAAGAGTGGGCTAGATAGCCTTTCAAGGTTAAGGGGCAGAGTGTGGAGACCCAGTGGACTGGAAGTATGTAGAGGGCGACACTGAAGTGTCCACCCTAGTTCTCCCCAGCAGAGGGACGTGGAGGAACAGAAATGTGCAAGTTTTTTTTTTTAAATAAATATATATGCACATTATATATATATTATATATATAATGTGTCCGTGTTGTGCAGTGCCGCGGAGGTCAGAAGAGGGCGTCAGATTCTCCTGGAACTGGAGTCAAGGACGGTTCCTATGGCCATGTGGGTGCTGGGAATGGAATCCGGGTCCTCTGCAGGAGCAGTCAGTGCTCTTAACCACTGAGCCATCTCTGCAGCCCCGATGTACAAGGTTTTTCCTTAATCCTAGAGAGGCTGAGCCTCTCTGGAGAGAGGAGCAGGGTTCTTTGTGTCCCATGCATAGGAGAGGTGTATCCTGGTCAGGATCATCTGTCAGTGTCCTTTGATTAGGTTTGGGCCTGGTAGTCGACATGTCCAGGAAGGGACAGGTTCTGACAGCCCAGGACAAAGAAAGTGTCTCTTGTTTTCATTATACCACTATCTGTTATTCTATTCTTGGGGTATTTTTATCTTCCTCTGGTTTCAGGGCCTGGTGTGGTCTTGTCTTCCTTGGGGTATTTTGATGATCTCTTCATTCTCAGAGCTGCCTGGCTTATCCTTAGTTCTAGGGCATGATATACTCCCCCCTCTTTGGGGTTTCTAGATAAGGTGTCAGCAACCCTGTGCCTATATTCCTAAAACACCTGCCTGGGAGAGAAATGTAATCAGCGTCCACCCTCCTCCCTGGTCCCAATGACAAACTGAGGTATCCCAATAAAGTGCACTCTGGGAAACCAATGAATTTATTGGACTTATTGGCATGTGGTAAGCTCTTCCTATTCCTCCTTCTATTCCCGGGTGTCAACAGTCAATCTTAGCTATAATGGTCATTGGCAAGCAGGTACAACTGAGCTTGGGAAGACGACTTCTGTATGACTCAGAGGACAGTCCTGTACAACTGCCTATCTGTTGTCAAGCTGTTCACCACCTGCTAAACTGTTTCCAGGATGTGTTACTACACATTGTTCTTGTTGCCATTTGGTAATCTTACTTTGTTCCTATTAGTATTTATTCACATAATGTAAGCCAGATGAGATGGTACATGCTAATAATCTCAGCATTCAAAAAGCAGAAACAATGATCTACAAAATTGAACCCCACAAGGTTCAATTCTAGCCTAAGCTACATAGGAAGTTCTGTTTCAAAGAAAGAAACAGGATAACCCATAGCCCCAAACCCTTCCTCAAAACCTTAAGGACCAGAATTATTGGAATTCACGAGCATTTGGATTTCAGCAGCATAGTAAAGTGTATACAACATTCAGCACATAACTTTGCCTGCAGTCTGAGGTACCACTTCCCTATCAAATGTGAACATGTCATTTAATTTGGTTGAGGAAAGATGGTGTAAAGGCCTGTCCACATAAAGTTTGCAGACTTGTAACAAGAAGAAATGCCTTAAGGCCAGGATTGATGGCACAGCTTTAGTTCCAGTACTTGGGAGGCAGAAGCAGGAGGAACACTTTAGGGAGAATGTGGTCTAACATAAGGAGACTGATCTCAGAAAACCAAACAATGAAGAACAGCCTTGTCTACAAGGTGAGTTCCAGGCTAGCCAGGGCTACATAGTAAGACTGTTTCAAAACAAGAAATGACCAAAAAGTTTTTAATACTTTGTATTATAGAGAAGCCATTGTGAATCATACATGACAGTGGATGAATTAGCAATAAAAATTGTTTCATTCAACTGCAAAGTTTAATTTGTACTTTTCTTCTCAGTATTCTGCACATAGACATGTTTATCGAGGACTGAGTTAAGTATATTAATATGCTCCCATATGCTTTCTTTAATCAGTGGTCCACTGCTTACATCACCATAGGAAAGTATACAAAACTAAATTGGCTCTAACCATTATGCTTGCTTGCGGCTGAACTGTGCACAGTTTGCTCTCACTTACCACTATCTCTTAATTTTATCACAGAGAACATGTCAAAGTGTTCCAGGTGAGAAACATTTTCAAGTCATTTTAGGAAAAGGGGGTCCTTTTTCTTGTCTTCCTTCCTCTATAAGCTAGGATTGAACCAGGGCCTTAGATCTCCTAGGCAAGCACTGTCACTGAGCTGCATTGCCAGCCTTTAAATGTCTTTAAATGTGAGTCTCCAGTGTACTTTGAACCCTTCTAAATTGGGGAAATGTAGATACATTGATCTGTTTGAACCTGTTTATTATTTGTATCCTACCTATTTCTTAGGAAAGAGGTCGTTTGATAAGCTTATTACCGCTGCTTGTATGCTCTTCAGCTGTTTTCCCCAACACGAAAGATAAGGTTAACAGCAAGATGATCCACACTGAAAATAGCACAGAGAGAGAGGTGGAGAGTCTGAGTGCTGAGCAGGGCAGATCAGACAGCCTCAGGACTCTGCTCTGCCCCTAAGAGGAATTTGGAAAACCCACAGAGCAATGCACAAACCAGTGAGGTAGGTTTGGAATAACCCAGTTCGTATCTTTGCCTGTTCTATTTGTGAGGGTGTGTTTGGTTGTAAATAACTTAGGAGCCCAGATGACAGACTTCTTACATGGTAGGAAGTCTTCAGGTAGGTGGATCTTAATTCTACATAAGTTGCCCACAGTATCACCCAGACCTGGGCTTCCTCATTCTTCCTGTTCTCATCTGTGGCAGCGTCTTTCAGCAGGTGGAATGCAGACAAAGAACAAACCGAGCATACATTACCTGCTAGTTCTGAAAAGAACCCATTTTGGTATTTCATTCTATCTTAGGAATCTACCTTTTCTTCACAGATAAAAATGGATGTTCTGTCTTTGAACTCTCTTTCTTGTTTATCTGTTGTACACTTGGACCTGGATGGTTCTACACATACAAAACAAAAGAAGGAAATCTCAGCAATTTTGATATAAAATATCTGGATGTTCTTATAAATAACATGGACTGCACAGCTGCTGAAGCTAGTGGAAAAAAGATTCAGAAATGTGTTAGCAAATAACATACTTAAAAATCCAATGGGAAAACAATTTTGAGACAGCTTTTTACTATATAGCCCTGGCTGGTCTGGAGCTCATTATGTAGACCAGGTTGGCCTGGAATTCACAGAGATCTGCCTGCCTCTGTCTCCTGAGTCCTGGGATTAAAGGAGTGTACCACTATACTCAGCCAGTGGACATCAGTGACATCAAAATAACCAAGGCATAAGTAGAAACAAAGATATATAAATCAACGTTCACATATGTATGCATAAAATACTGCGCAGTAACATTAACATATTGGGGGGAAGATTCTTTTCACAGTAGTCGTAGAAAGAAAACGTAAGATTAATTTGTTGAGACATGCAAAAGTCTATTTGCAGATAAATTCTGGAAATAATTACTAATAAACTTACATAAATGGAAATGTATCTGTTCCAGAATTAGAAGGCCTGTGTGTAAAGTGTCACTTTTTCCCAATTTGTCACTAGATAGACTCAATAAAATAGCAAATATAATTACATTGAGACTTTCAAGAGACTTGGCACCTTGGAATTTGTTTTGTACTTTCTTCTCAAAATGTGTGGGAAGGAACCTACTCTCCTTCAAAGGAACACATAAAATTCAAACACCAGAAATGTCCACAGAAATTACTTGTTCAAAAATGTTCTTTTGGGGGTATGATGAGTTAGCCATCTTGCCAGCCCCAATAAGAACTATCTTTTGAAAAAACAATTTATTATTTTTATGTGTATGAGTGTATTGCCTGCATGTAAGCTTGCAGAGGTCAGAAGAGGGTGTTGGGATTCCCCTGGAACTGGAGTTAAAGATGGTTGTTAGCCACCATTTGGGTGCTGGGAACTGAACATGGGTCCTCTTCAAGAGCTGTCAGTGCTTTTAACCACTGAGCCAACTCTCCAGCCCCAAGAACTCTTTTGATGACATTGTATCCCCCCACAAATAATTCAGCATAATCTCTCTGATTCAAGATACTTAACATAGTTACATCTGTAAATTCCCTTTTGCTCTGTAGGACAATGTCCACACCTGTGTATCTGTGGATTGGGATGGTCTTTGAAAGGAGGAGGAGACTATTCTGCATGCCAGAGGAAGGGTTTAAAACATTTTCTATGCACTTTCTGTTGTACAAATGCTCAGATCCCACTAGCCAGGGTTGATACGTGCATCTATTTCACAGCTGTGAGAAGCTGGAAAAGAGAATCCCCATCATATTGACATCTGATAGCAGAAATCTGGAGCTGAGTAAAATCTCAGTGTCCAGGGAGCAGTCAGGAGATGTGAACCCTGGCAGAAGGCTTATTGGGAGTACATGAAAGGAAAGATGGTCTTCCACTGTAGGTAAGGGGAAAGGGTACTTCCTTGCCTTTAGGAAGCCAGGATTTCAGAGGATTGTCATAGAGTGAGAGGAAGGTCTTCAGCATTCATGTGTGAGACCTTTTTACTCATTTCTTTCCCATTAACACTCCAGATACCCTATTAGGAAGACATGGGTAAAGTTGCCGGGCAATCCAGCTGCAGAGGGTAGTTCTTTCAGTGTAGCGATATGGCCTCATTGTATCCTGTTGCTACAGTGATTAATCTACAACTTATACGTTCCCTGGTCTGAGCCGAGCCACTCAGTGAAAGCTGTCCTGCATGACATTGGGTTGAAGGAATGAGTATAAACTGAATTGCAGAGTTTTGATTAAA